TCTTTCTGGAAACGGGAGACAGACTCCTGACTCCTCACTCAATTAGACAAGGGCATTGGTATTCCTACCATAATCTCCTCTTATTGCTTCCCATCTGCTTTCCAAATTTTGTTAGTTCCACCTTTAATATCTTCAGCTTTATTACATATGTAGTCTACTTTATTATCATCATTTAGACTTTTCTTTGAAAGTTGGAAAGAAGTAAACGGTTTGGCTTTGTAAAATGTTTGTCTCTGCAGAGCTACAGGGGCGCAGAGTTCAGTTCTTCCTCTGTGGGCTCAACATCAGCTCCTGCTCTACTAGAAATAGAATGTGCCCAATGGGAAGGTCAAATTTTATTTCTTATACTCTATCAATTCTCCCCCACAATTCCACAATCATGCTTAATATTTGGACCATCATTTCCTTGTGCAGTTTATTTTAAAATTTTATTTTTGGGAGTTTCTATTGTTTTTCCTTTTTCTTTTGGACAAGAGCATACGTATTTTCTGTAGATTAAAAATTACCTGACCATGAGTTGCATGACATTACAGCTTTTTCCTTTCCCAGTCTAAGTTTTATTGCTTTGTAGATGTTGGTTGTTCTTCCTGGAAGCTTATTGGATCTATTTTATCTTTTGCGTTCTCACATTTCACAAGAATGTTTTTAACTTTTTTAAAATTAGGATTTTTNTATACTCTATCAATTCTCCCCCATAATTCCACAATCATGCTTAATATTTGAACCATCATTTCCTTGTGCAGCTTATTTTAAAATTTTATTTTGGGGAGTTTCTATTGTTTTTTCCTTTTCTTTTGGATAAGAGCATACCTATTTTCTGTAGATTAAAAATTACCTGACCATGAGTTGCATGACATCACAGCTTTTTCCTTTCCCAGTCTAAGTTTTATTGCTTTATAGATGTTGGTTGTTCTTCCTGGAAGCTTATTTGATCTATTTTATCTTTTGCGTTCTCACATTTTACAAGAATGTTTTTAACTTTATTTTAATTGGGATTATTAAAAAATGTTATTAAATTTATTGGGGTGACATTGGTTAATAAAATTATAAGTTTCAAGTGCACCATTCTATAATACATCCTCTGTATATTGTCAAATATGACTTTTTTTAACCATTCACACTGCTGAATATTTAGCAGGCCCTTCCAATATGAAGATTTCTGTATTCTACAGCCTTGAGAAATTTTCTTCTATTATTTTATTTATAATTTCTTCTCTACTTTTTTGTTTTATCTTTTTCTCTTTGATTGACTCTCTGTCTTTTACTATTTGTCTCATATTATTATTTTTATGGGGGAGGATATTTTGCTTTTGGGAAAATGCCTTCAACTTATTTTCTTATGAATGTGTTGTTTATAAACTATTTGATGTTTCTTTTCATAGTATTCCATTTTTATCTTATTACTGCAATTTTTCTTGAAGACTGATTAGATGTTTTTAAAGTTGTCCTGTGATTTCTGAAATACTTATATTTCCCATGGAGTCCATTATTTTCTATGTATATCTTCTTTCAAGATGCTGGTTTTCCTCAGATGTCTGATGATTCCGGTTGTAAGTTCCTGTTTTAGGAATGGAAGATCTCGCTGTTGATTCAGGACTGCTGGAGACGGGCGACTCTGCTCTTAACTAGGCAGGCCCAGCTCTCCCCTCAGTGTCCCCCAGGAACGGGAAGTAAGACTGGGAGCTCTGTCAGTGAGCAAGACTCATTGGTTGGAGGATTTCACTTTTAGATGGAGTAATGGCAAGATAGCCATTAGGCTGGGCTCTCCCAGGCCTCAGTGTTAGATTGAGGTGAAGCTTTGCTCTGAGGTACCCATAGCCACACTCTCAGTCTTAGTCCAGACACACACATGTACACATTAAATATGAAAAATCTTTAGTCTCCCCATGAAGCATCTCTTTTGTTTTGTTTTCGGTAGTGCCAGCACAATGCCTGGCTCTAGGTAACAAAATGCAATAATTGTTTTAAATGACCATATGATAGTAGCACACAGCTTTTATGTATTTGCTCTTGAGGGTTCACCACTCATTAAGTCATGCTCCCTGTAGGCAAGCAGCTAATAGTCTAGCTTCTAATGGAAGAAACAGATGTGTGAACAAATCACTATAATAAAGGGAGATAAGTGCGACAGAATGTGTTTGTACAGAATGCTGGCACTTGAGAAGGAGACATTAAGTCTGAACTGGGAGACTGGGGAGAGAGAGAGATGCAAAGAGAAAGTGACATCCCAGAGGCAAAACTGTATAGTCATTGAAAATGCAGCTGCAGCCTGTGGAATCAGTCTGCTCAGATTTAAATCCCGACTCCATCACTTACTGCCTATCCTTGGACAGGTTCTCTCTTTGCCTGTTTCCTTCTTTGTAAAATAGGCATATGATAAAAGTCCTGACTTCCTAGTGTTTTAGTGAGGAATAAATGAATTACTACCCATAAAATTCTTCAATGGTGCCTTCCATTCAATACATATTAGGTCATTATTATTACTATTATTTCTTGATGTGGCCTTGAATGAGAAGTTCGGTAGCCAGAGAATGGGCAGATGGGAAAATATTATTGCTGGGAAAATAAGCTTTGTGAGTACAGGCACAGTGGCAAGAAAATGCAGGCACACTTAGGGGGGAAAGTCGCTGAGTATGACTAGCCACATCATCTAAGGTGTCTACCAACGCCATGTGCCTCGCCTTACATGATCTCCAGGCCAGAACTGACTTCTCAGTTTCAGCACCTTCTCCCCCACCTCCACCCCCATTGATAGCTATGCATTTTCACTTTGCTTCAGAAGTTTCAGTACTGACAAGAAGTCTTGGCTCAGTGCAAGCAACAGGCTGAGGCCAAGGCTCTAAGACCATCTGGTTTGTCATACCACTGATGTCTCCCCAACCATGCCTGAAAATCACTTTAAAAAGTCTTTGGTCTGCTGCTCCATGGCCTCATTACATATGCCCTATACATTTTTTAAAGATCAAGGTGTATTTCCTATACCATTCCACTTCTTCTGCTTTCCTACAAGATCCATCAATCCCTCCTCCTGACGAGCCCCCACGCCCCCAAAGCCTGGGCAAGGATAGGAAAGGCAGGATAGGCTGAATTACTCTTTCAGAACCAGCTCCTATTTTATCCGTCTTGGTTTCTTTTAGGCCTTTGAGAAACAGTTGCTTTTTAGTGGATGCTATCATGACTGTACCTAAAAGGTCCCATGACTTCAGCTATTGTTTCTCATTTTGGAGGCTTTTAGAAGTCAAGTTTCGCCCTGGCAGGGTAGCCCAGTTGGTTATAGCATCTTCCCAATATGCCAAGTTTGCAGGTTCAATCCCCGGTCAGCCAAAAACAAGAATCAAACAATGAGTGCATCAACAAGTGGAACAACAAATCAGTATCTGTCTCTCTCCCCCTCTCTAATAACAATAAAGAAAATTTTTTAAAAAGTCAAGTCTTATCCTCAGAGATTCGTTGGTACACAACGCAGAAGCAAGCATGGGAGGCTTCACGTGCTGTTGCCTTGAACAGATGCTTGGGGGCCTGTAGAAGGCTTCAAAGAATAACATTTAAATGTATTTCTACAGGAAGGTAGAGAACCGGAGGAAACTGGAACGATTTCTCCCAAATCTGGCCAATGATCCTTGTTGAGGGGCTGATTTGCCTGTGTTTTATGCTACACTAGGCAAAATAAACAGTGTGCACAAAAGAGCACTAATTGCCTCATTTATTCGTCCATTTAGCCAGGGAACATCAGAGCTCGTTCAGCCCAGAATGGCAAGTCACATGTTGGAGACAAACTAGCCGCACCGAAGGAATGACAATGCGATTCAGGTTCTGCTGGCTCACATATTTTATTTATCCAGTGAAGGAAGGAAAGGGGGGAAAGAACACGAAGGGGCACCAATTCTGAGAGAACAAATACCAAGGTCACATCCTCCGTTCCCCTCAGTCCATTTAAACCCACAGATTAAATCAAAGTGCAAAGGGATGAGACGAATATCTTGGCCGGAGAATAACACGTCTTATTAGAGAAAGAAAACCCCTTTCAAGGTTAATACCTACTCAGTGGTTTCTTATTTGAGGATGGCTTACTTCTGTCTTTATAAAAATATGGCCGCCTCCTATAAACTGCTGGGGTTGGATATTTAAGGGCCGCTGGATGGAGGCTGCTGACTTGGAGGCTTTCCTGGAGTCCCAGTCTCAAAGAGCCTCACCTCGCTGCCAGGAGAGCCACAGGACATCATAAACAGGACCCGATGACACCTGGCAAAAAAGGAATCTCAGACATCTCAGCCCAGGACCCCCATTATATAGATGGGGAAACTGAGGCCTGGGAAGTTAAAGGATCTCCCCAAGTCACACAGCTATTTAGTAGGAGGAACTCAAATTTCTTGGCTTCTAATTAAGTGCTTTTGGACTTTGCATAAACAGACGCTCTTCCTTCCCCCAGATTCTAGAATCGGCAATTTTAGCTTAGGTGACCCAAACCAAACAAAAAGGATCTGTGAAGAACTCTAATAAATGTATCCAATCTCAAGAGCCTCATGTTAAGGTACAGTTAAAAGACTAATAATGTTTGGGTCAAAATCAGGGAACTCGATTTTTCTAAGAACACATGTGACAATATCTTACACATAGTGAGACAGGGATGGAAGGCAGCACCACACAGGAAAGATTAGAAAATCCAATATTAGAAAATAAAACGGGCCACGGTAGCAATTGGTAGGCTGGTCTGAACTGGTCAGGGCTTTCCAATAACACGGAAAATGACACAAAGCCACAATCAATGAGAGGGGAGTTTCAGGGGGCTCCTGGTGGACACACAGAGGCACCCTCTAAGCAGCTGGGTGCCTGTGCCCAGGGTGACACAAGGCATCCACCCTCACCAGAGCCACTGAGCTAAGTGAGTGTGAACCCATGCCCTAGGTTGCCCACAGCCGAGCACAGCCGTGGAGCAAATCAACGCCCACGTCCTGGTCACCTCGAAAGCTGGCCTGCTCCACTGTAACCATTTGCGTAAATTAGAGAGGAGAGGGTGGGGGAAATGGTTCAGGTTGCCAATACCGGCTGGACATTTTGAACCCTGGACAAAGTGACTGGTATCTTTGTTTCCCCGGGGCCCGGAGCTTTTGTAATGGGCTGGGCATGGGCCTTGATGTCTGCGATTCGCTCTTTAAACTTTTGCTGCAGGAATTTTTCTTCTTTGGAGTAGCTTTTGGCAAACACTGACATCAGCAGGCAGCCTGCCATGGACGTGCCCCCGATGCAGAAGAGCACGGCTCCCGCCAGCTTGCACATGTCAAGGGCTCCATTAAACTGGACGGCGTGTGTGTCAACCACCACAAAATCCGCTTCGCCAAAGGCTTCGATTTTGGGGGGCACAAGAAAGCCCACAGCCAGAACAGTCAGTCCGAGAACCACAAAGACTGTACCGGAGATGAGTCCGACCTAGAGAAAGACACAATGAAGTGAGACCGATAAGCCCAGTGCCTCAGCTCTCCCTGAGCCCTCCAGGATGAGGCTTGTTTTGGGGGGTGGAGTGAATTTCCCCAGTCAACCCCAAATACGTCCAAGCAGCCTACACCATTTTCTGGTTAAAGAAGGTGATGAAAAGAACACCTTTCTGATTTTAATGCCAACCAGAAACGGCAGCACTGTCTTGATATTTCCTTTGAGCTTTCAGTGTGTACAAGGCTTTGCAGATGACAAAGCCCCCCTTTGCTAACATTGTCTCATCCAGTCTCGAGGAACAGAAAGCAGCCCTGATACCCAGGAGCTGGCCTGACTATCCATGAGGCCTTGATGCTGTTGGAAGCTGCCTGGAGCCCACAGCAAAGCTGTCATTCTCCTGTTGACACCGTCGATCATCAGACAAGCGCATTCCGCCCCATGAAACTTCACAGTTTTCGCTAAGCATAGACAAAAACAAGGTCAAGTACCCAACACCATTCTCTCCCCTCTGCCAATATGAATGACTGCTGCTGCTTTACCAATTACAGCTTTAGTCTCGCTCTGGGTTGCCCTCCCTATAGATAAGATTCCTTAAGAAATTCAATCATAGGATTGCCCCAGGGTGAACTCTCCTATTCCCTTAGATCCTCCCCCAAATCACCCAGCCAAAGCCCACATCCTATATGTCCTTCCTCACACACCCTTACTGAAACACCCCAGGAGCCCTTATGGTGTCATCTCACTGTGATAAACTGAATTCATTCAATATCTAGGTATGTCCTGGTGATTTTGTCTGGAAGACAGTGACAGTCTGTATAACTAACTACTCAACCCTTCCCCAGGTAAGTGGGGAAGGAACCATACTTGACAGTTCACAGCTGAGGAAATGTAACCTTGCAGAGGGCAAGTCTCTGGCCCAGGATGAACAGCTAGCAAGTGGCAGAGGCAGGGCCAAGAAGCCTCAGATCTGACCCCAGGCCAGTGCTCTTTCTCTAACATGGAGCTATTTGGTTGGGCTTATGCAGATGCTGAGAAGTGTTAGGAGTAGCAGATGGAAATTTCACTGCATAGGCTCAAGCTCTAATAAAACGTAACATGCTAAAGATGGAAAGTAACATGCCATTTGGTGGTTTAAACCTAGAGGTTTGGAATTAACAGACACAGGCTTGGATTCTAGCACTGCCAACTAGCACTGAATCATATAAGGAAAGTTACCTAAATGCTTTTGTTAATTTCCCCACCTATAAAAAGATAAATGATAATAGTATCCACCTCATAGAGTTGTTGTAAGGACTAAATGAGACCATGCAGGAAAGATTTAGTCTTTTGCCTGGCTAAGCAATGCATTGTAATAAGTAGCTGTTATTATTTGGAAATGCACCTCTTGTAAAATTATGCTACTTTGGCAAGCACATTACAATTGCTCAGTACTTAGAATAAAGAACAGCTGATATAGTTATTTATTTTTTAAACACATTTTTCATTTCCTCTGGTTTCTAATTGCTTTCAGCTAGAATAACAAGGTTGGAAAAATAACTAAATGCATAACCATTTAATCTTGAACATTTAAAGTATGTTTATTTAAGTTATTTATTGATTGATTAAGTTCTATGGTAAGACACTAATAGGGAAGGTTTAGATAATAGAAGGAAAACATATTTGCAAATCCATTACCTTAAGAAAGGGGGAGAGGCGAATTAGTATTATTGAGCATTGTGAACCTCCAGGAGAAATATATCTGCCAAGAACTCCTCATAGTTAATTGGGCTCAAATTCATAATCAGAGTCTAACAGCCACTGCTGGCAAAGGCCTCTCATGCATGCTAAGATTCAGGAGAAAGCCTCAGGTTGAACTGTGAGCCACGTGCACTGTGCTCCTGCACAGCCTGAGCTGGCCCTTACAAAGGACTTCCGGCATCATATTTCAACCAATAGGCTGAGACCTGCCTGTCTACTCAGAGTTGCACAGCTATAGCCTCATTTGCATATTTACTGACCAATCAGAGCAGCTCCATAATGATCAATCAGAATAAGCAATTCCAGCCAATTGGGACAGTGCTATTTGGGCCAATCAAACCTCACAAATTTGGATTCCTCATTTTACATAAAAATGGACCAATCAGGAATCAGGGGGGAAGTTTTTTGTATATAGCCAGTCTTCCCATTGTCTTTGAGAAGATGACTTTCAGTTTCTCCCGGAGTCTGAGTTTCTCCCGTTTTATAAATTGTTTTACCTGAGTCAAGTTTCTCCTTTTACCACACCTGAGATTGGGTACTCTTCGTGAATTGGATTAGTGCCATTTTGTTGACAGCATCTATTATGACTTAGGCATAGTGCTAGATGTGTTTATCCCTATATCTGCCTCTATCTAGAGGTAGATATATTTACCCTATTTCACCTGTAAAAAACTGTGGTGTATAGTTCAAGGTCCTATAGTTAGCAGATGGCTTGACTGCACTTAATCCAAGGTCTTCTAAGCCCCCTACCTCTTTTATTCTCCCATGATGCTTCACCAGTTACTACTTTGTATATTACTTGCTATTATTTTTTTATTGCAACAGAGTTTTTGTTACCATAGATGGACAAAATTCTAATACATAATTATGTGAGGAAACTGACGAACAAAAAAGTTAATCTCTTCTGAAAAAAAATTAAAACTATTCTCTGTAAGATATAAGTAGTGCAGAAAAAATTCGGTTGTAAAATATAACATTTCAAATGGCTTTCTACATTTTTCTAAAAATGGTGGTGAATAAATTCACCTTCAAAGACTAACCACTATTTAAAAATAACTTTTAAAAAATGACTCACATTGGAAAATTCTGAATGCACAAACTAAATTAACTTAAATATCCATGGTGACTTGCTTCCTATGTCACTAAATTACCTCCCTCAACAAGAACTGGCACTAATTTCCAAAAACTGAGGGCAAAAACATGTATCCATCTCAGCTTCTGACGTTCTTTAGAACAACTGAGGCCAATGCTCTCCATTTCTTATTTGTCTTGTTTCCCCACAGCTCTGATTCCAGCCTATACTCAATAAATATTCCTGACTGAATAACCTAAGCCACCAGATTGCTGAATATGGGGCCAGGTGATTGATTCTCAGAGCAGCCTGCTCCTCAACTGAGCAGTGCTTTATAGATTAAAATTTTCTCTTGGAGTATCACTCAAAAGCTAAAAGGCAAACCATGACTTGCAGATGGCAGAACTTCTGCTCACTTCAAGGACTGGAAAGTGGCTGGCCTCCCTGAGCCTTCTCCCTTTGCCTTGCTATATCCCTGTATCTGAGGGATGCCTGCCGTCTGTGGAGGGGGCCATGATATAATGAATAGCTAACTCCAAAGACTCTGAAGGTGCCATCAGTGTAAGTCTAATGGGAATCTTCAAGAAATGTGTCCAGAGAGGGACTCTAATCTGTTAAAACATATCAGGGAGAGCTTGGGATGGAAGGCATGAAGGATCAATGATGGGATCAAACTTCCCTGCATCTTAACTTCCCTCCGCATATAATAGAGGTGAGGAGGGATGCTGGCATACATCAGCTTAATTCTGATACCATGTGGGAATGCTGGAAAGGATAAAATACTTGGGGAGAGATGCTATACGGTATCTTAACAATTGTCTCTGGACACAGATCTAAGCTGAAGTGGTCCTAGATCTAAGAGGATAAGAGTTCTATTAAATATAGTTTTAAAAATGCAACACAGAGATCTTCTGAGGGTCAAAGAGAGCAAGGCAGGCAAGTTGAAATGCTGCTTGGCAAGGCGCCTCCCCCAGGCATACCAGAGCAGAGCAGCCTGGGGCTGTGGGATGGTTAGTGAGAAGGAAAGACCTCCTCAGACTGGGACAAAGCTTAAAGAGTATCAAGGACAGCTTTTGAGCTGTAATTTCTGATGACTCCCTTGGCTGTGGGGAGCATGTGTGAAAACCCAGTCCCTGCTGTTGGAAAAGAGGACTGGATAGGGAAGAGAACTTGGATTCCAGAAATTCTGCTGCTGGGGGCGACAAGCCAGAGAATGCTGTTATTTTGACCAACATCTCCTTCATTGTATCTCTGTGAGCTGATGAGTTCTGAAAATGCAGTTTACTCCAATGAGCAGAATTGGCAGCAGCAGCAACGCAGCTGTTCTGGCAGAGAGGAGGCCGTCATGACTGTTGGAAGCAAGACCTGGTGTGGCAGGGAAGAGCAGCGTGTGGGGGAAGATGCTGGATGGAGCTAAATGTGAACGGAGCCATCTGGGTTAGAGGTAATTCGGGGGAAGCACGTCGAGAGTGAAGACTTGCTTTTCTTCTTCATTAGCCCCGAGGGCTGCTGCTGACCTCTCCTTAGCAGGATCTGAGCTATGGGTGGTGTTACTTGCCAGCAGTGATGACAGATTCTTGCTTACGTCCCGACCTTCTTGCCTGACCTGCCTGTAGGGACATTGAGCCTTACAAAGTCAAAAGCCGATGCCAGGCTCTGATCTAGGTCCTTTCACATGCCTTACCTCCTACAGTGTTCACAGCCCCCCTTCACCTGGGTAGTGGTACCTATTAGCCTGCATTAGATCTTCTACTTTACAGAGGCTCTGTCCCTCTCACACGTGAACCCATTCAGTCGCTTCAATCTTCAGTATCTATTCTAGGTCCCTGTGTTCCTCATGAGATACTGCCTGAAGTCCTTTTACTTTTGACAGCCAAGTTTGGTCCTCTAGGATTCCACTGAAATTGCTCTCTCCGAGGTCACCAATGACCTCCTACTTTTCAAATCCCACGTGATTTTTCTTGTCTTATCTCGTTTGAGTGTTCCTCAGCCATTGGTGTTAAACAATCATGCTTTCTTAAAACCCTCACCACTGTTATCCCTGATACAACTCTCTTCTCTCTCTGCATCTACCCCTTTAACAGCCCACTCGCACCCTGCTTCTCCACGTATTGTTCTTGATCGTTGGTGTTCTCCAGGGTTCCGTCCTTGACTCATACCTTTTGTCCAATGTGCTCTCTCTACGCTT